AACAAAAAAAAATGAACTGTGGCTAGTTGTCTCTTCACATTTCTAGATGACAGTAAATGGTAAACCCACCTCTAAATTCATCAGCGATCCAGAATGTGCAGCTTATTACCCAGTAAAGACTTAAAGCTTGTCCCTGGCTTGCCAGAAAACACTTTAATGAAGAAGCCCAGGCTCTCTGCCACACCTTGGGAAAGAAATCAGACTGTCTACTCTATATACAATCTCCTCAGGCCCTGGGAAGTAAGGAAAAGTTCAAATGAGCCACCTGATTTAGAAGTGGCCTCTCCTGCCAGGTTTTCCTTAGGGAGAGGTTTTTTTCGATAAATCTTAGGATGAGAAATATTTTACATTGAAAAGGAGAACAGGTTGAATTTCAGATTCAATAATAGCATGGAGGATCAAAACCCAAGAAAAAGCGCAAGGACAGAAGAAAAGAGCAGAGCTTACTTAACTCCATACTACAAGGATGCGTGTACTATAATATGATCTTCTTAAAAAAGTCATCTGCCTCATAAAATAAAGAACACTGTGCAAAAGCAGATGAAGAAACACAGGTGAGATGACATACAGATCCTGCCAGACAAGAAACAACTGCAGATGGTGATCAAATCACAAAGGCTACAACATACTCTGGCTTATTCTAAAACTACAACCTGGTCTCCATTTCAAATTCTTTGTCAATGTATAGAAATTGGGCAAATCAGCAGAAGATGTGTCTAAAAACAGCTGTGATCTTGTCAATGTCTGATCACAATTTTTCAGGGCTACCCAACACCTACAGGTAAAATGCTGTTAACATTCAAGGTTGTCTATCCTCTATTGTAGCCTTAAGTGGAATCACTTCTTTTTCACAGATCCAGTGTCTTAGGGGGAGGAGACTACTTATCATTCCAAAAACCCACACTCAATTTCCTGCCTTGGATCTTCCATATGGGCTACCCCTCCCGTCTCAGCTCATCTATCAAAATCTAACATAGCCCCTTAAACCCCTGTATGCACACCACCTTCTCCCCAATGCCCACTCTGGCCCTTCCACAAGAAAATATGAGGACTCTGTACCTCTCATATAGCACTTACTACATTCTTCATCCTATTATGGTTAAGTGAGTACAGCTCCACTTTCTTACTATATGGTGAAATCCTTAAATTTAGGGATGGTGTCAAATTTAATCTATCCATCAAGGTGATAAATAAAGGGCCACATGTGGTTAAATACTCAATAAATATGCAGTAAATTAAGCTGAATACCTGCTACCAAATTTTCAATATTTACCTATAAAATGTGATGGCATAATGGTAGACTACTCTTCATTTTTAGTAGCTAGAAAAGTAGAATGAATGCTGAATGTAAGAGAGAGAGCATTCCTCTACAACATGGATTCCCAGCCAGGTATTAATGAGGCTGCTTGTGCCCTACAATATCCCTTTCAGCCATCTCCCAAGCCACACCCTAAGATTAACTGCAGAGCCCTGAAAGCACAAGCTTAGACTTGGCTGAACTGTACTGCCCCACAACACTTCTTATGCTTATGCTAGGTCTTTCTTGGGGAGGACTCAAGCTCTGTAAATCTCGTCTCCAGAAGAAACAGGTTGAGGCATT